TGGTGCAAGGGAGGGGACAAGCTGCTGCTGCTCTTGGTAGTGTGGAAGTCCCTGGGTGGCTCCTGCTGGGCAGGGAAGTGCTCGGCCCCCAGGAAGATGCTCAGCCACGGCCAGCTCATCACGGTGACGCTGGGCACCCGCTGTGCTCCTGCAGAGCTGCCTCGCAGCAAGTGGGCATCCAGCCTTTGAGCGCTGTATGGAGGAGGCCTGTAGCCGTTGTTGGTTTTCTCTGTGGGGAAACTGAGGCACAGGTGGCAGAACCAGCTGCCTCGAATCCTTCTAGGGCTCCATCCTGAGCCCTGCAGCCTCTCATCCCAGAGAGTTTTCCTTTCTCCTCCAAGCTCTTGCTGCATGCTGAGAAATGACAGCGGGATTCCCAGCCTCCTGCTACACACGGGTCTGAAAGCTCTTCTTTCTCTCTCATCCCCAGCGAGTTCACTTGACCCTGCACCCCAAGTAGCACAGCAGGAGGGCAGGCAGGAGCCTCCCTGCTTATTTCCTCTCTCTGTGTTTGCAGGTGTCTGTGGATATCAGCAGCAGCACGATTCGTGTAGCAGTGCTGGAGGGGAGCAGCCCGCACGTCCTCATGGAAGGGAAACTCACCCACAAGATCAATACGGAGAGTTCCCTCTGGAGCCTGGAGCCAGGGAAGTGTGTTTTGGTAAGGGGGTCTTTGCAGCTCTGCTGGGCTGGGCTCTGCAGTGGGAGCTCCTCCAGCTCCAAGCCCTGCCATGGGCAGGGCCACCTTCCACTAAAGCAGGTGTCTCCAATCCCCTGTGTCCAACCTGGCCTTGAACACTGCCAGGGATGGGGCATTTACCACTTTTTTGGCCAACCTGTTCCAGCACCTCACCACCCTCACAGGAAGAACTTCTTCCTTGTATCTAACCTGAACTCCCCCTGTCTGAAGCAGTTGCTCTGGCTCCTTCTCTGCCTTCAGCAGGCGCCGTGGCTTGTGGTGTGCCTGCGCCCCAGTGCCACAGATCTTCTCTCTCTCAAGGTGGTTCAGGGGCTGTGGCTGCCCAGGAGTGTGTTACTGGTGGGTTCTCAGCCTCTTGTGTGCTCACAGGCTGAGGCTGTGAGTTCTGTTCCTGGCTGAAGCCGTCCTGGGGGTTGTGTTGCTGCCCATCAGCCTGGGATCTCAAGTGCCAAACAGTTGCCACATTCCTGTGTGAGTTTTGGGGCCACTACAGATCCATATGGATGTACTGGGGGATGACAGACTGGTACCAAGAGAGAGGAGCTCCTCCAGCTCCATTAGGCTGTTGAAAGGATATGAAAAAGGAGGCAGTGGCGTCATTAACCTGTGTTTTAAAGTGTTCTTAGACTTCTTGAAAATTGGCTGATCTGGGAAGAGAAACCATCCTGGGAAGGAGTAAACCTGTTCAAAAGGAGGTGGCCCAACGGGCGGCTACTGGGAATCCCTGGTG